TATTTATTATACTTTTATATTTTGATATAATAATAATGTTTTTTTTTCATAAATGAATTTTTACATTCAATCCTAAAGACCAAAATTAACAAAACTCTAAAAATAATTATTGTAATTATAAAAGTGATAATAACTATAATAGTAGTTATCAATAATAATGAAAATAATTATTGTAAAAAGTATAATAGTAGTATCAATAATAACTATTCACTAGTGTGGTTGAGGTAGTAATTGATTAATAATAATATAACAAATAATGATAATAATTGTTATATGCTTTTATTTTAAAGAGTAGTTTTACATTATTTTTAAAAAAATTAAGATAAGTTTTTTAAAATTAAATTATAAATTAATTTAACCGTATTTTAATCAAATATTTTTAAATATATTTAAAAACGAAAAAGTCATGAGTTCATCAAATAGGCTTTAATATAACCATTCATCGTGCACATAAAAAGTTTTTGGGCACGTATGCTCCTGAGGATTGTCATTAATGTTAGTTGCTATTGAAATCACACGTGGTCATTTGAATTAAAAAAACAACATAAAATATTGAAAATACTCCACTTAATTTATAAATTATAATGTTTTTGAGTGCATGAAAAACGTATCCAACGCCGAAAACAATTGTGGGACCGTGCTATCTCTACCAATTTATGGAGATTTTAAATTCATGGTGGTCAAACATTTTATAATCTCCTACATCAATCGATCCCAATCTTGATGTTTATTTTCTAGGATATTGATTAAAAAATTATATTTATTAAATTAATATAAAATATAAATAATATTTTAAAAATTTTATCCAATATTTTAGAAACGCTATTTAACTTTTAGTATTTAATGTATTTTTCTTTTTGTAGAAAACTAAAAAGAGTACTTCAATAAGTCAACAAACAAAGTACCGCGTGTTTTTGCGCGGAGTCGTCAAGTGGCTTTTATACGAGGTCTTATCAAACATTCATAATATAACATCTTCAAAGCGCACTTTGTTTTTTTTTTTTTAATGTTTTGTGTGAATTATCAGAACACTAGTTGTATTTATATTTAATCTATAATACAAGTGCTGTAAGTGCTATACATAAATAAAATTTATAAATATAAATAAAATATTCAAAATTGCAAACCAAGTATTAATTTATAATTTATTGGTTTATCGTGATCGAATTGTAACAATATTTAATAACAAACATAAGTTTTTTATATTTATTACATAAATTTTTTAACATAATTTTGTATATATATAATATAATATTGTATTGTATTAAATTATTTTTTATTATATTCTAACAAAATAATGTAATATATTGAAGGCTATATACCATTTTATTTTTAATCTCATCAAACCTTGTGTAATTACTATTTCTTGAATTTGATTACGTTGTGAAATCCTAAAAAAAAGGAACGAATTTTTAAATTACAAAAATAGTAAGTAAAAGTTAAACTCACACATGCATACATTAATGGTACTAAACTATATCATAGAAGTTTAGGTACTAAATTATACATATTCTTTGAATTGGGTGATGATTTTGTGAAAGTAATTGATCGATAATTTTAGGAAGCTATTTATTTGATATTGGTCATGACAATTTAAGAAACTACCCATACAAAATTACTTTGGGTTATACTACTCATTAAGTATTTGATTAAAAGAAACATAGGAAGTAAAAAAAATATCGAGGTATTATCTTTTTAAAGATTCCATACAAATTTGAGGTAAAATTGAGTTTGATTGCGACAATTTGAGAAACTATTTACGTGAGATTATTATTATTATTATTATTATTATTATTATTATTATTATTATTATTATTATTATTATTATATGAGAGTATCTATTTTTTTTATCACTGGTATAATTCTTGTACGTAAGATCGAATACATGAACAAATTATATCTATCTATCAAAATCGAAAATGAGAAACAAAACCTAATGATGAGAGATACAATAAATTTTAGTCCAAAACAGTAGCATAACTTTCTACAAAAAAACAATTTTATATATAATTTCCCTTTCAAAATGTGGCGTGAAAACATAAATTTAGTGTGAATAATTTTTAATAAATATTTAGATGAGATAAAAATAAGTAAAAAAAATACAATATTTTTTAATAAATTAAAATAAATTTATAATTTTCGAATTAAAAATTCTAATTACAAATTTAAAATAAATTAATTAATTTTATTCATATATTTTTATTTTTTTTACCTATACATATTTATGCAGAACTTTATTCAAACTGGCCATGTATAATAAAGAAGGATTATTATCACCCAAAATCCAACTTTTCAAAGGAACAAATGGCAAAAGAAAAGCATCACAATTGCATGATTTTATTTGTTGCGAAAGTATTTTTGTTGGCAATTAGAGCAACAAATATACTTACATGTAAATTTTTTACAAATTGATCATAAATTACAGTTCACAGTGTATTTTTATTTAAGTAAATCTACATTTATTTAAGTAAAAAAGTTTTTTTTTTGCTAAAAATAAAATAGTAATTTTTACGTAAATAAAAAAAATCATTTAATAAAAAAAACAAGTTAAGTGAAAAGTTAGAAAATAGAAAAAAGAAGGTTACGAGAGAGCTAATAATAAAATATTTTATTTTCACTTAATAAATAAATTTATTTAATAAAAATGCACTGTAGACTGAAGTTTACGCTCAAATTGGAAAAAATCCGTATACAAGATGCTTATCTATTTGTGTTCATTCATAAGAGGTTAGTTAAGAAAATAAAAAAAAATATTAAATAAATATAAAACATTTATACATTATAAAAACTTAATATATATTGAATACTATTTAAATAATTTAAAATTTAATTAATAAAATTAAATAGTCTAATGAAATATGCGGTACTAAGGCATGGCATTGCCACATGCTATCGAAAGCTTGCGTTTACAACGTTTAAGCTTATTTTATTACAATGACATTCATCCAATTTTATTACAACGTTTAAGTTTATTTTCTTAAAATATTGCATTGAAATTCATTGATTCGACCAAGGAGCTCGTTTAACGCTCAAGCAACAACAAGTTTATATATATATACTTACAATTAGTACACGCTATTCTTCAAATTAATTGACCATTTTTAATTGTTAAATATGCGATTGTCTCATTACGGAGTCTAATTAAAAGTCTCCTATACAAATAAACAATTTGGACTACCTTTCTCTCCATGTTTCACCCAAAAAGAAAACGCAAAAACTGAATAATGCATCAATGAAAAAAGTTATATTTTTTCTGCGCAATTCTCTTACATTTGTTTATTTAAGATGAAGAAAAAATATATGTAAAAGTATTTTATAATTTATGATGTAAAAATGAATGTAATAGAAATATGTTCAAATAACAGTTTGGGGTGTAGAATTTTAAAGCGCTTACTGATACAACAGAACGAGTCCAATCTCAAACCATCCACGTCAAGATTTAGACGCCTCTCTCTCTTTCTCTCTCTCCCCGTGTGTTTGTGTGTAGGCTATTTCTTCAGTTTTCTAATGTTTGAAGCTGAGCTTAACAGCCTTCAAAATGAAGTTTTTACTTTTATATTTATCTTCTGATTTTTATGAGAATATTTGAATAAGGAGAAAAATTGTATCGTAATTTTATAAATTTAAAAACTCTTATACTTAATTTAAATTTTTATTTAATAATTAATAAAATAAAAAATTTAGATAGAATGTTACAATTTTTTAAGTTTATATTGATATAAGAAGATTTGGTCCTTTGAATAAACATATCGATTGACAACGACAGTGTACGTGTTTAGAGCATAGAAGGTGCGAATAAATTTGTTGAATTTGCACAATTTTTTTATTATTAGAACTATAGTTCATATGTTCTTGAGTGAAACAAAAGAAATTCATTGTGCTTGTTTATTAACAAATTCAATTCAACGTTATTAAATAATCGGTGTCACCTGAGATAGATACGGTTGTTGATTTCTTCACTGAAGAAATGCGAATGAGCCTAATTTGCCTATTTACGCGTCCTTCTGCTATGTTCAGAACACATCATCTAATATTAAAACCCCACTTTACATTTTTATTGTTCTTTAGGAAATATCCAAGAATTTTCAGCGTAAACTTCCTCCCATTGATACTTATTAAAGTAGACCACATTAAGGACGGGATATTCAATCCTACAAATTAAATGTTGTACTTGTATACAAACAAACGAAGATACTGTTTAATCCTTTTTATATAATATGATATTAATTAATTTAACGGTTGGTTTAAATTTTTTTATCAAATAAAATCAATTTTATAAAATTATATACAAAAACAAAATTAATAGAAACTTCATTATATTATTTTATTTTATTAGGTAATATATTTTTTAAATATAAATAAATATCAAATTTTAAATAACATATGTATAAATGTATATAATAAATGTAATATTAAACAATTTTACAGTTAGATTGGTAATTTTTTATTTTATAATTTTTTAAAAATATGTCTACTTCTACTTTCAATGATACACAAATCATTTTCCAACTGACTATTAAATTTGAGGCTAATTGCGCAAAGAATAAATTAATATTTGTTGTTATTGTATATTATATTGTATCATTCGTCAGTACGAGGTCAGTAAATCAAACAGATATAATATTAACATAGGAGAGTGAAAAAAAAACATCAATTTATTGAATTGAAGCTTGAAATTGTTACAGATGTGTATCCCATAATCCCAAATTCAGGGATTGGGTATAAATGATACAACAAAAAAGGTCTCTGAATGACAAAAAAGATCGTTGAAACCTAAAGCAATTAAGCACTGCATTTGTCAAAATTCAAAATAAACGAATTATTGTTATGCAGATAATTGGAACCTAAACCAATTAATTAATTAAGCTAATTCATTTAGGCCAAAGTATTGATTTATGTTAGAGGAAGTATATGGGTCTCATTTGATCGCACATACGGGGCCAAAAAAATAAACGAACTCATTAATATTTTAGTGTCTACTAAAGAATAGTGCTCAGTATTCACAGTTTCCTCTTCATGCGCTTACGCTCTTCTTCTACCTCTAGCAGGTTGATGATCACTGCATCTGAAGCATCCCTTAGCATCTTCGACCAGTCCCTGAAAACCAATCAAAATCCAAATAAAATTTAATACACTATTGCAGTACTGATCAAACAAATTAAGAATGAAAGAAAGACAAATGCGAGTGTAGCAGCATCTATAGCAGCATTTTTAAATTTCAGTACTTTAAAGAACTTATTCTTAAATTTTAACGAGTAATATTCTTAATTTCTTGTTTTAATACACGCATTCCTCTTGTACTAAATTGTTTTTTCAATAATATTTTTCAAATAATTTGTGAGTTGTCTTATTTTTTTAGACAAATGCATAAAAATTAAGCATAAGATTAAAAAAATTATACATATAATATCATAAATTAAAATTGTTCATTTTGTATTGCTAATGTATTACTTACCCTTTCAAAGGATCAAAGGTCAATCCCACAGTGTATTTAGCTTCCTCGAGAGCTAAACTAAACCTTTGAAGCTCTTTAGTAGGGCAAGTTCCATTGTCCTTGACAACAAGCTGCGAAGGCTTAACGTCGTAGAAGATGGGAACAACCCTCTTCTTAGATTCCATGAGAAGAGCGAGTTCGTGAAGACAAAAATACGATTCACAATAACGTGGCGAAAAGACCGCAACACCAACCTTGCACCCAAGAATGGCCTTGTCAATATGATCGAACAACCTATCCCCTGCTTTCATATTCATGCTGTCCAAAAACGACGTCACTTCCATTTTCATCAAACGGTCATAAAGCAACCCCGCCACGTTCCTCTTTGTGTCAATCCCACGGTGGTTGATGAAAACATCACATACTGGACGAGCAATTTTGCGGCACATGGTAGCTGGTAAATGTTGCATGGCTCCTTCAACAAGTTTCCTTTGTTTGGTACCTGTTTGTGTGATGTGAGTTTTGTCACCTTGTATTTGGTGTTGGGGGGTTTTATTAATTGATGGTTGATGAGCAAGAGGCGAGGGACAAATATATATGTTGATGTTTGTGTGTGTATACATATAAATATGTAGCCAAAGTGGTGGGGTTTTATATAATGTTTTTTTTATTAAAGACCATTTTTTTTAAACTTGGGGGGTTTGAATTTCAATGGGGTGGTCCATGTTTAATGTTAAGACTTAAGAAAATACTTGGTATTTGAACGAAAAAGAGTAAAAGTGTTTGAAATTTTTGACTGCTTAAGGATCCATATTTGGAACTTTGCTTGTCCTTCAAACACGTCTGTAGATATATTTCGTAACTTTATTTTCTGCGGGGAATCCCAACACAGATCCGCTGACATGGTCATGTGTCGTGATTTTGCCTTACCTTTTGCGGGAAGTTTAGAGGGTTGCTTCCGGTTTCCCCTATAAATTATGTTATTTATACGGTTAATTTTCAGCATTCCTTATATGCAAGTCAAACTCAACTGTGTATGTATATATATATATATATATATATATATATATATATATATATATATATATATATATGCCCATAAGACAAATAATATTTATTTTTTTTATAATTGAAGACAAATAAATTTTATTAAAGAAGTTTAGTACAAGAGATACTCAAGACAGAAGAAACAGCTTATAATAAGTTCTGATTTGCAACAGTGTGATGTTAAATAGACTAGATTGAATTGGTTCAGGAAACAAATGGGCTCTCACAGTAACTATATATGTCTCCTAAATTAAGGAACAAACCTGTTTAATTAATAAAACATATTAGAATGTTTAAAACTTTAAAAAATATATAAATATTTTTAAAAAAATTATTTTCTAAAATTGGCCTATAAGACAGTTTATTAATTAACTTGCAAATCCAATCCATTTAATTCGTAATTTAACTGGATCGATCGGATAAAAAATATAACAATTAAACAAACCTATATTTTTATTCATCCTAACACATTTTACTCTCAAAATATGGTTGCTACACATCTAGTAAAGAAAATTCCATGACAGGGAATGCTGAAAACCGTATAGTTAAATTAATCATGACAACCCCTATTACTACCAAATTCAATTAATCATTTTGTTGAAAACCATCGATCCTCCAGGCTTGTGCAGTCACCATCCAATACTTTCGGACTTTGCTTTCTTTATTTTTAAGTATTTTGTTTTTTATATTCTGGAGCATTGAAAATTAGGAAAACTTCAGCAAAACATTCCATTTTGGTTTATTATGAATTGTCATCGATTTGGAAGAGGTCTCAACGATCTCGAATTTAACATACGCTGGTGGAGATGAGTGCCTTATTTGATTTCTTAATTCGACATTGACAATTCTAAGCATGGGAAGGAATATTATTATGTGACGAACGGTTCAACACAGTGTACTCAAGTGTTTGGGAATTGGGGTTAGTAATGTGATAAACAAATCAAAATGAATTTTTTTTTGTTAAAGCTTTCAAGGTATCTCAAACCCATTTTGTATATACGAGATTAATTCTTGTTTGGATATGGAAATCTTTTACAAAATATTATTAGTTTTGAAGGCTCAAACCCTAACATTGTATAGCCTCGTAATTGCTGAACTCAAACTTGTTTATTAAGCAATAAATAGTGAGTCTTGTGTATATTTCCTTGACATTAAAATTGTTGTTTTGCATAATTCAAATGTGAAGTCTGATAATTGTCAAGTTATTCGAGAAGTATTCATTACTTTTATTTTCTGTATAGGGATAATATATATAGTCAAAAATTTGAGTAAAACTTTTTCGCTGTACATGGTTTAAAGGTATAACGATGCACCATGGGTTTATTACATAAATAGGAATCTAAAAAAGCTAGAGATTATAAAACCAGGTCATCCACCATCTCAAATTCAGCAAAAGTTTTTGGATTCAACAAAATCAATTTAGGGGTAGGATTCTAAACAAATCCTTCCTGGTGTATGAAAAGGGCAGTGCCCAAAAACATGTAGGCCAGTCTCCAATCAACTTTCACATTTACAAATTTTACAATTTTTAGTTTTTTTGATTAAGTGAAACTTCTTGTATGAAAACTTACAAGTGGGAGGAACTGGATTCTGATAAATTAAAGGGAACGGATCACTGGTTAAATAAACAATGAAGACGTAAGTGATAAAATGAAATAGACTCTCTTATGTACTATGACAAGACATTCTAAATGTTCAAAAAACGACGAAGACGATTAAATTAATGTTTTCAAAAATCAATACCACGTACTGTTCTCATGAGAGTGACACTTTACTCATGCGTTATGCACCAGATTGAATTAATTGTTGTTCTATCAAGCTGACTCTGGGTCTTCGTAAACGCGGGGATCTTGATTGATGTAACATCTGAATTTATGTAGTTATAATATATAGCTGATAAAGTAATTATAGAACCAATTTGGCACTAAAAATCCTTTCGGTTGAAAGAAAAATTACAAAGTGTGCACTGCAACCCAAGAACCAAAAACGGAAAGAGAAAAGGCAAAAAAGAACGAAAAAAAAGGTTTTCTTTTGATTAAAAGAAAGAAAGAAGTATGAATCCTGACTTAAATTCAATACACATGCAAGACAATGTAAGCTTTGACTCGGTTAATCATTCATAACCGAAATTAATGGTTCGGATTGAGTGTTGAGTTCTTAATTTGTCTGTGTATGAAATTTAATAATTTTTCTGAAAGGCAAGTTAAGTGGCCCCAGTTTCGTTTCAATCACTTATTCCCATTGAAACTTTTCCTCATTTTCAATTTAGTTAGTAGCTTTTTCCCCGAGCTGTTTAATGGATTCTCTAGTTCCGATGTAGAAAAAAGTAAATTAATATATTTTTTTTTCTAAGCAAGTAACTTAATTAAAATAGATACGTATAAGATGGCTTCACAATATATAAAGATAGTAATAGTTGTCAAATATACATTACATATATGTCTCATAGTTAACAAAAGCAATTAAATCTTAAATTTCTTAATTCAAGTGAGGAGGACTTTAATTTCTTTTAATTAAAGTCTCAAGTACAAGTTTTGTGTGAATAAAAAAATGTTCTATTAGAATTTTTTTAAAAAAGTGTTCACTAACTTGACATAGATTATGTTTCAAAAGTTAATTTATTTTTTAATATCAAAAGTCTAAGACAACAGTGTTAAATCTTATCAAAAACACAAATTAAGGTAGCAATTGTTAGTCATAGATTAATGATATTTTGTTTTATTTCCTTGAATGCTTTAGGAAGTAGAATTCACAAACTTGACATAAGAATCAATTTGTGAATCAACAACATTAATAGTTTATAGAATGCAAACGGAAAATTATACTCGGATTATATAGAGGATTAATAGTTCGTACATTTTATCCAAAATATATATTTTTTTACAATTTTTATTACTATGTATATTGTTAAGATAAAATTTCAAAATTATTTAACAATAAGTTTGTTATTTCAACCCACTGTCAATTTTTTTTTTGTCATTTATTTTTAATTTCAAGTTTTAAATACCATTGTTTTTAAAAACTTGTATGTTCAACAACCATTTTCATTTTTTAATTTTTAATATGGGTTGGTCTTATCTTTTGTTCTTTTGTCTGTTCGAGAACGTATAAAAAGGTACGTGCATAACTAACCACAAATCCATTAGTATGTCAAAAGGAAATTAATATAATAATCTTGTATAAATTAAATCTAAGGAATCCAAAAGCTGTCTGAAAATCCAAATAATAGTGCAGAAGAAAGGAATAACAGTGTACATGTATGAAAGAGCGTTAAAGGTAAAAAATTTTAAAGTGCGTTAATGGTAACATTAATACGTTTCTTTTCTTTGTCAAGCAAAATAAAATAAAATTTTCTCTTTGATTTCGACATAAATGGGTAATGGCCTTAGTATCTGGCGTTAGTGTTCAGGGACTTGGTGACAAAGTGTTATCATTATGAAGTTTTTTTCCAAAAATATCTAAATTATAGAATTTACTAATTTGCTTTTTTTTTTATACAACTACAGAAATTTATAGTGTTATGAATAGTTGAGCTTAAAAGTGAGTATTGAATGAGTTAAATTGATTTGAAAAACAGCAGCTTGTTTATATAGCAATTTTAATAAAACCATTATAACTTTTTATAGTATTTTCAATGTGAATTCCCTTCGTTTGAGTAAAGGAAAAGTATGAATGCATTTTTTTGTTCTTCCTTAATGTATTATAATAGCTTATTATTAATTTATAAATTGAAATATAGAATTTGAATATGTTTTAAAATTGATGTGAATAATTTACCTCTCGATATATTAAATTTGACTCTTTATTTTTAAATAAAAAATATTTTAAGGAATTATTCTCTTTTTCAATATATCACGTGACTTCTTATTTATTAAATATTTATTTATGTTAGTTTTTAAAGTTTTGAATAATAGAGTATTCATTATGAATAAAAAAATTGATTTATAAATTTTATTAAATTTAAAATGACCATACGATATATTTTAATATTTTATTTAAACTTAAGAATACCCGTGTTGTATAAGCATTTATTTTTTATTGTGAGGCAAGAAATTGAGATTTTGGGAATAAATTGTCTTACTTCCAATCTCGTAATTTTTTTGCCGAGTCACAAAAATTTGTGACTTTAAAATGTTGAAAAAATATAAAAAGATAAAAGTAATCATTATAATAAAATACAAATATTAAAATTCTTAAGAAAATCGAATATAAATTTGAAAGACTTTCTAAAGCCTCCAATTATTAAAGTACTAAGCAATTAATCGTTTTTAAGAAACATTTTGGGCTAAAAAAGGAAGCGTGATTGATCTGCATGGGTCACGAATTGCACCAAATTGGGATGCATGAACGCACAGTCTTATCAACGTTCCAAGAACCTTTTGTTCACTTCTTTTTCTTTGTCATTTTCTTTTAATTCAATGTTCCTCTATCTATCAATATGAACCTTTTCAAACGCTATAATGTTGCTTTATGAATTTTGCTTTCAATTAGTAGCTTAACTATTCACTCATTAAGGCTAAAATATGTTCCACGTAAGTGACCAATTAGAGCACCTTAATTTCAAAACAACTAACATGAAAACCGTTTATGCAGATATATATGACCAATCAAACGCCCCATGAATGTATCCTTGGGAAGAAACTTATCTCCTTTTCCTCTTTTTTGTTTCCTTGAACATCAAGGAATAACTATTCCACAAATGCACAAACACTAATTTTGCACATGCTAAAATAAATATAACTCAGTTACACAATTTTTTTCATAAATTTAATTATATATATATATATATATATAATAATTGACTAATAATTTACTGGATATGATATTTAAGAGGTGTCTGGATCCAGGATAACTTGACCAAATGTCATTTTTATTTAGTTCAACTCGGTATTTTAATTTTAAAAGTGTTATTTATATTGTTTAGGTTTTTAAAAAATTTATATTACCAATTCAACCCATCTTAAAATTTTCCCTTTAATTTATAATAATATAATCTTATTTAATTATTTTTATATTATGAAAAAATTTATGCTTCTTGAACAAAATTTTATATTTTTATTAATTATTAAATAAAATTTTAAAGTGAAAGACTTAATTTAAATAATTAAAAAAATTTAGAAGACTAATAATAAGAAACTAAAATTAGAAGAATAAAAGTTACACATAAATTAAAGTATAAAGACTAAAAGTGTAATTAAGTCTAAAATAAAATTTAAATTTTATACTTATTCAACAGGATAGAGTTTAGGATATCTTTAAAGACTTATGCCCAACAAATAAACTTTTAACTACTTAACTTAATGGTTACAACATATAATGAATGATTTATTATCTATTTAAAAATAAATAATGATTCAATCTAATTTATTTATCAATTTTTATTTTAATGATCTGATAATTTGGTTGAATTTATGTATGAATGTGGATTGGATACTTAATAGAGTGAATTGCCTTCCCACAGAAGATACATAACTAGCAGCATCCACATGTAAAATTCCTCTTCTGCCAAGATGAAATCTTGTGGGTATTCTGTTTTGCATTGTAGTCTCTGAAGGAAAAGACATACCTTTGTTGGCAGTACTCTTGTTCCCTGACAAATTGAACAAGTTACTGCTTTGAGAATTTTCGGATTGGTTCATCAACTTGTATGCATTCATGGTAGAGCATACACCTGAATTGAATCCATTCGACGGCTAATAATCAAGTTTTACCATACAATAAATGGAAAATGTTCTTTTACGGCTAGAAAGGGACATCTAAAAGTGTTTATTTTTGTATTTGAAGTATATTTTTGGAATGGGTGTGTCTATAGTATAAGAGATAAAATAATGATAGACAATATCATAAACCACGTTAATTTTTAGTAAACAGAATTTTGTAAAATAGTTGTGAGCTGCTTTGTTAAAAGAACTACTTAAAGTACACAAAGGAACCCTTAACATGAAAGTATAGACCTGAATATCATGAATTCAAAAACGAACACTCTGGCATGGATAACCATAACATTTAAACTAACTGAACAAACTTGTTCGCCTCTTTGAATTGTGTGTGTATAACTACATTCAATAATGACTTATTGGTTGAATTTTTATAATGTTTGGTAATACATTAAAACATTTTTTTATTACAATAACGAAAAAACTTATTGTCTTAACTTCTGGATTATATATAAAGCAATTAATTAACATGCCAAAGTTTTCTGTGAAAAACACAATACACATATGCATGTAGGCGTGTTACTATGTATTGGATATTTGATTGGCTTATTAAGTAGATAAGATATATAAAAGATCACTTTAAGAAATGATTAGGATATCATTCTATTAATAAAATTCAGAAACATTATATGAAGAAATTATTTAATTGATTACACAAGATAATGTCTATCAGTTTGTTAGAATAAAAGAGAAAAATGAGTTAAATATAGAAATTACAAAGCAAAATATTGAGAACTCCTATAATGTGGCACCTCAATCTCAAGAAAAGGAAGCTGTTAACATGCTCTTATTTTTAGGCATAAGCCAACCCTTCATATGAACCTTCCTAGATCAGTTAGCCGTTAATGATGAAGCACAAAGCATAAACACTAAGCCATACCCGAAAAGGCCTCGAACTAATCCATTAGATAGGAGGAGGAAGGTGTCTTTATAACCTTCCTCTTTCGTTTTTCTCCCTTGGCTCTCTCTTCTGAGAAAGTTCCATTAAAATTCTGATTAGCATTCGTTTCTGCATCAGACATTAATTAGGATTAACCCTTAATTGCATGCATGCATGCATACCTCAAAAATTCTATCACCAACCCAATTAATTTGGATATTCTTTTCTCAAAGGTTTTAACACAGTGCTGTTGTTAATTGTTTATACAATTATTTTAAATATCTTTTTGTTTTCTTTTCTAATTAATTAGCATGATTATACGTGTTTTATGAACGTTGTGGTTGACATGAACATTACTTTTCTTTTGTTGCAGAATTAATTTTCAGTCATTTTCAGCAATAGAACATGGCGGCCGTGGGGTTCTGCGGTTTGAAGCCATTGCTCTTTCGTCGCAAGACGAACATTTTCGAGGTAAAATTCTATCCTTCACTATTTCCTTCACATTTCGCTACCACTTTTTTTTTTTTACCTTAACAAACCCAAAATCTTGATATTGGGATTTTGGAACTTTTCCATTAGTAATTTTGTTGTTATTTAATTTGTTTTATTTGTATGGTATACGTTCCATGTTTTCAGAATTCAAGGAAAGTTGGTATTGTTGCATTGTCATCTGTACTTTTCAGTAATCAAATTTGTGTTAACATAATTAATGGAAACATCGATTATTACATGTTTAATTGGAAACTATTATTTTTTAAAAAGTTGAATGAAGCACACAATTACAAATCCTTTCCGAGATGAAATCATGAAAAAAAAAAAATACGTAACATGTAACTAGTATTAGTATATATGTTGGAATTTCAACATTAGCTATATGAAACACTATCGAAGTTCTGGGCACCATTCATAACGCATAGCCACTTGCAGGGAACGAAAGGATCGAGCACGCCCAAGAAGTCTTCAAAATCTCAGAGCAAAGCAAATGGAGAGTCATTAGAATTGTCATTTGTAGGAGCAGACCAATTGATTTTAATGGTGGAGATCCATAAGAAGATTTTGGCATTCAGGGACATCATGGACCTAGCTCCATGTAATAACTCTGATTCCTTACGTGAGGTGCTTTTTGATTTCTTTCTGTTTGATAAATGATAGCATTAATCCCCTCATTATTCTTGCCTCCTTCACAAATTTGTCTTTCATCTGGCATACTACAGATACTCATGAGAACCCTGCAAGATGTGCAAGGGCTTTACCCAGGGATTATACCAAGAAATGAAGTTTTAAAGATTAAGGACAAACCTATAGACCAGGTTTCAACATTTAGCTGCACCTGAAATTATCCTAATCATTACCCAATTCTTAGCTTCCCAAATACTAAATTTGGACTGTTTTACCCCAGGCAATGGCCTACTTCTGCAAGGCATTGAGGTCTCTTGGAGAGTCATGGATGATGAATAATGATTGGATGGATAAGCTCAATATCGTAATGCCATCATGCAAGGATAACAGCAATATGCGTCAATTGGGTATGTTACTGATATGCTTATAATCCTTGTCAAATGCAAAATGTCCAAATTCAGAGTCATAATAGTCTTAACATTAGAATTTTTCACAATCCCACCGCTAAGTTTCATTTGCTTTGCAGGTGAAACTATGGTGGCCACCCTAGATTGTTTGATGAAGTTGGCAAGTGAGAGGTTTGATATAGAAGAAGATGACCAAAAGAAAGAATTCAGCCCAAGATCAAGCTCATTTGGAAAGTTTATAATGCGCTCTTCCTCCTTTTCAGATGGTAGCTTCTCTGGCTGCTCTTCTCCTTCCACACCTAGATCTGTCCTCCCAGAATTGATGAGATACTCTTCAAGAGGAGACAGTCCAAGAAGTTCTTGTGCCTCACCACTTCTTTTGTCTCTCAGAGTTCAAGCTGTGGGAAAGCTTAATCCAATTGATGTAAAGCGCTTATCTTTCCACATGTCACCAACACACATCCACAAGACAGAAGATGAATCAACAGGAGAAATTGAAGTGGATGATAAAACGACAAATCATGGAAAGGACTCATCAGAAGATCTAGTGTTTCATTTGGACACAACAGAGGAATCAAATAGCACAAGTGATGATCACAAAAAAACAGCTAAACCTCAAGCTATGGGAGAAGTGGACCTTCCACTATCTCCTAGACAACTTCAACAACAATCTCACGAACCAGCACAAACACCTCTTCTACAAGCATCAGTACCTGCATCCTTATCACCTTCTCATCTATCCTCACCCCTACCCATTCCCACACCATCTATTATGGCACAGCCAAAGACTGTGCCACAACCTCCCCCACCACCTATGATAGTGTCAAAGGCTGTGCCCGCACCACCCCCACCACCCATGATAGTGTCAAAGACTGTGCCCACACCACCCCCACCACCTCCTCCGCCGTCCATGCTAATGCCAAAGACTGTAACAATACCAACAACACCTGTGGTGAAGCCAAATGTAGCAATGCCACCACCACCTCCACCATCAGTACCCAAATTGGAGCAAAGTGCAGCAACAGTTAGGATGCCTCCACCTCCACCACCACCAATGCCTCTAAGTTCGGGTTCAACAGCAACAGTTTTAGCTCCTCCTCCACCCCCTCCACTTATGCCCTTGAAAGGTGGATCAGTTCCTGCACCTCCACCGCCCATGCCACGCGGTGGAAATGGAGGTGCCCCACCACCACCTCCTCCTCTTGGAGCAGGAAGATCCTTGCGCCCCAAGGCAACTAGTAAACTGAAAAGGTCAACACAAATAGGCAATTTGTATCGAACTCTTAAGGGAAAAGTCGAAGGGTCTAGCCTACCTGGGAAATCTTCTGCGGGTAGAAAAGGTGCAATTGGAGGCGGAAGCACTGGAGGGAAACAAGGAATGGCTGATGCTCTAGCAGAGATGACAAAAAGGTATGCTCTTTCAACCATCCACAACACCAAAAATCTTCCAAGTAGATTATGTAATTGTGTTTTTGTTAATAGACAAAACTTACGTGTAACTCTTTTTGTCCTGTTTGTTAATCAAAATTAAAGTTTAATATTAATAAAAAGTCAGCATTCAATGTTGTCAGCTAAAATATATATTATTAAAGTGAAATTTTAATTTTAATTAAAAAATAACACTAAAAGTACTTCATAATGAAGGGTGCTTGAATTTTATACTTCATTAATTTGAAGTCCTTGAACCAAATGTCTAACCCCTCAATGTGTTTCTTTTTTCTATCTTTTTTATTATATAGATCCTCTTATTTCCAACAAATAGAAGAAGATGTTCAGAAGTACACAACACAAATCATAGAGCTAAGATCTAGCATCACTAATTTCAAGACAAAGGAAATGCCAGAACTGATCAAGTTCCATAAACAAGTTGAATCCGTTCTTGAGAATCTAACTGACGAATCACAGGTGACTTCAGATAATTCATGTCTCCATTTAGTTTCCACTTCCATTCATAGGTGTGGGTTCTTTCATTTACAATGGTGAGCAATTGTGTTGCTGCATAGGTTCTATCACGGTTTGAAGGTTTCCCCACAAAAAAGTTGGAAGCCATAAGAATGTCGACAGCGCTATACAACAAGTTGGATTCAATTCTTACTGAGCTTCAAAATTGGAAAATAGTGCCTCCCATGGGTCAACTCCTGGACAAGATTGAACGTTATTTCAACAAGGTGATTCAAAACAATTCAATTTATTTAACAGTTTGATTAACCTCAACCTTTAAGCTGACTTAAGCATCCAAAAATAGTAAATTTTTATTGAAAAATGAAGTATATATTACAATAGAGATACAAAAGTGTAAAAAATACTTATTTTTTTAATAAAATTTTGCTACTTCTAAATGTTAAACTCAATTTTAAGAATTAACATAAATCGTTTATTTAATTACTTTTGTCCTGTACATCCATATCTCACCTAAAAAAGCAACATACAGATTAAAACCGATTTAGATGCTTTGGAACGAACTAAAGATGAAGAATCTAAGAAGTTTAAGGGCCACAACATCGAATTTGACTTCCACATTCTTATAAAGATCAAGGAAGCATTGGTGGACGTTTCTTCCAATTGCATGGAGTTAGCACTTAAGGTACCCAAGTTAGAACTAAGGAAATCAACACAACTACTTTTGACCAAACCATGAACTTAAATTGACTTTGTTTGCATTTGCCTAAACTCTACACAGGAAAAGCGCACTGCTGCAAAGAGTGATGGGCCTAAAAAGGAAGGTGCTGCAATGCTTTGGAAGGCTTTCCAATTTGCATTTCGGGTCTACACATTTGCTGGTGGGCATGACGATCGTGCTGACAATTTAACAAGAGAATTGGCTCAGGAAATAGAAAGTGACCCGAATCATCCATGACATGAATACTTTATTTATATACTTTATATATAAATGTGTATGTGGAGTAAAAATTGACATGATGAGGTTCTTTGCTACATACCCATCATGAGCCCCCTTTTTTTAGTATCAAAGCCATTTGTATATTAAATGACCCTTGGCGATTTGGAGTTATAATTTTTTAATTTTGATAGGAGCTAGTCATGCTTGGAGAATTTTGAAAATGAATTGTGGCAACTCTGCTGGAAATGTGAAGCTAAACTTGAAGCTTCACTACTTTAGTTTGTGTTGTATATTTCTATACATACGTACATATCATTGGAGATTGAGTAAATGAATAATACTTTTGGGTTTGTTCTCTTTGTACCAATCATCGAACACTAGTCCAAGTAAGAGAAAACTATAAGAGATGGTATATATAAATAGGTTACTTTGAGACAGTACTTAGCATAATTATGAGAACAGGTTTGTTGCTCTTCAATTTAGTGCAGAGAAACTAACAACCACTTATTATTTAACTTATTTAAACAAAATAACAGAGGATAAGAGAAGATGTGTGCACAATTAATTTAGGGTGATTCAATCATAAAACTGTTAAATAAGATAATGATTAAAATGAAGATTTTAGAATACCACCCGCACTTTTTTTCTTTTTGTACTAAAAAGAAGAATGATCTTACAAAATCTTTATTTTTATTATTATTATAAGTATTAATAATGATAGCACGAATGGAGAATCTGAAAAAAAAGGTATGTCGTGATTTTTTTTCATAAATCATAAATTAACCATATATAAATCATTTTGTTTATCTTTATTTATTTTTAAGAAATAAATGTATATTGAACGGTATGTGTGCTTGAACATTTTATTTCTAATTATGGATTTTAAAAATGGATTATATGTGGTTAATTTTTTAGAAAAAATCTTACTCATCATACTAATGAATAATTGATTAAATTGTTTATTGATAAAAAAAAATATTCTCATTGTCAAAAACTGTAATGTGTCTCCAAACTAAAAGGATTTATGACTAATTTCTGCTTGCAATTTGTGATTCCTCCTGCCTCAAGAAAATTTAATGATAAGAAACTTTTTGCTAAATAAATCGAGCCTACATGTTTGAAAATAATGAAGTCTTACACTTTTGTGCTAACTCTTTGAATTTATTGATAGCTTGCTTGCTCCAAGAAAATTCGATATATTTGTAATTTTAGATAATAAAAAAAAACTCTAAAAGTTACATTAATCAATGAGGTGGAACAATAATGACATAAATAAATAAATAAATAAATTATTATCTGGAGAAATTATAAAAAATATACTTTTTAGATTATATTTAAATGAAAAGGAATAAAATAGAATAAAATTTTGATTTATTACTTGAATAAATAAAAATAGGATAAATAGAATGTAAGCTTTTAAAATAAATGGAACATTCACTATACATGAATGTGCAAACTTGACGTAAAAACTCAAATTAAATATTAAATATAAGTCACCATAAATCAAATTTAGTTGAACTAGAAAATTTTATAGAATAAAGTCTAAAAAATAAAATAAAATAAATACACCTTGCCCATAATTTTCAATGTATTTCAACTTGATTCGCCTATAATATATAATCTGTGAATACAAATTCTTAAATAAAAGTGCTTTTTTTAATTGAATGAAAATAATTTTAAACTGTATCTCTTTCTCATTATACTAAGTGATTTTTTCAAATAAAATATTTTATTTTTAATTCAATATTAATTAAAATTTTGATTTTTTTAATTTAATATTTATCTCTTTATTTAATTCTTTTACGAGAATCTTTCTGGAAGATTTTTCAAACATAAATACTTTAAAAAGTTAGTTTCTTTTACTGGTGGTTTTTTAATTAAGACTATTATTTTTTAATTCTAACAAAATTATTTTAAAAGATAACCTTTTTTATTCAGAGCTACTTTTACCCGCATTAAACTATGTGACCTGTGCGCATCTAATTTATAACTTTTATACGATTTCTCAATTTTTTATATATATACTTTTGTAGGTCAAATTTGTAGGAGAAGAATTTTGGTGATGTTGAACTAAAATTAAAGTTTGATGTTAATAAAATATTTTTGTTTAATATGATCGCAAATTATTAAAATAAAATTTCAAATATGATTGATAATCACCTAAATTTGTCCATTTTGGTAGTTGAAAGTGTAGAAGCACAATGGTCAATGGTCCCTTTCTGATTTGAATTTAGCATAATAACACCTTCAGCAATTGATTAACTCATATCGCAACATCAAAGTGTGGTCCCTCACAAAAGGCCTGCCATTGCCCCAAATCTTTCAATGATTATTGGCTTTCGCATAAATATCTCTGCCCGGAAAGCATTTGTTTTATTGAAATTGTAAATTCAAATAAAAATTATAATAATACACTTTTTTTAATACATTTTAAACTTTTAATTAAAATTTATTAAGATTTTCATTTATTAAAAATTATAAAGAAAGTATTATGACTAAGCCTTCTTTCTTTCTGTCGTATTTTGTTTCTCCCTTACGCACGAATCGATTACAAAGTTCAAGTTTTTTTTCTACGGTAATTCAAAATCACTGTCATTTTCCTTTTGCTTCTTTGTCTTATTTGAGATAAAATAATCTTTTAGTTTCTGTATAAGATTTTTTTTTTATATAATTTAATTATTATAAATAAAAATGTGTATATTAATTTATATATAAAAATTTATTTTCAATTTTATTTTAGTTGATGTTATAATGATGTTATCTTTCTCCTACGTGATAAATAGCTCTACAATATGACGAGTTTAAATTATCTTTTAGTCTTTATATAATATTATTTTTAATGATTTAGTCCTTACAAGTAAAAAAAATTGCATATAAGTTCTTATACAAAAAATTATTTTTTATTTCATCTCTATCATTATAATAACAATTTTATATTAGTGTCAAGTGTTATTTTTTCATCATCTTCAAGAGAGTATTTCATATTCTTTAAATAAGACACATATTCTTCTTCATACTTTCTTATGTCCAACTTCATGTTTCGATTTATCTTTACACTATTATCACTTTTAACATTTTCATCTTTAATATCACTACTTGAGTGATTCATCATATTTTATCGCAATAATCATCCCTTCTCTTATCATTCTTATCTCAATAACTAAAATTTCATTATGTTCCTTTAAGTCGTGTTCAAAATCAAGAACTTTTTTTTCTCTGTATCATTAGTACATTTGAAAGAAAATCAAAATTACTTTCTAAATCATTATTTTTATTTATTTCTATAATCACATATTGACTATTTTAAAAATAAATGTTAAGATAAGCATGATAAGAAAAGCGATAAAAATTATTATGAAAATATGATAGAGTAAAAAGTAGTGATGTTTAAGATGAAAACACTGAAAGTAACACTTATGTAAAGATAAATTAAGATATGAATTAAGACATGAAGTCTTTCTAAGATAGCTTTTACATAAGTTGAAACAGTGTTAACTTGTATATCGAAGTTTGAGGTTATGAATTGAAAAAGTATGAAATACAATATAAAACTTTTTTGATGAATTTAGAATACTCCTCTAAAAATTATAAAAAAAATCTCACCTGATACTAACATAAAATTGCCACCATAATGATAATGGTAAGAACAAAAATTTTAAAAAATTATACAGAACTAATATAAATTTATTTACTTATAGGAATTAAATTAAAAAAAAAGTCTTTATAAGAATTAAAAGATAATTTAATCATGCTAAGTAAGATAGTTGTTTATCACACAGGAAAGAAAAAAATAATGTACTAATTATTGAGACAAAATTAAAACAAATTTTTTATATAAGAATTAAAATACAAATATTTTCCTTATAAAGACTAAATTATAAAAATAAAAAATATTATATAAGAACTAAAATATCATTTATCCCACCGTATTTTAACTAGCAAATAGTAGCAGAGCTATGTTGGTTTTATGCTCTATATATCTTTTGGATTCTTTGTGAGAAAAAAAAATTCAAGGTAGGTTTCTTAACATTTATGAAAGTGCGATATTTTATTTGTAAGAGAAACAATTCAATTCATTTATTTATTAATTATTGATGTATAAATCTAACTGTAACAAAAAAGTAATAGATAAATTGAATTATCATAGATGGATAATGAATTATCCATAAAATTTTATAATCTATTAAATTGAATAGTTTAAAATATATTACTTGAATATAAATCTTTAAAGGACGCATCTTAGACCTTATAGGATTGAATGTGTATAAATATCTAACTTTATTTTATAAAAAATATTTATTTAAAAAATATAATTTAATATATTTTAAATAGATGGATTAGATATTTAGCCATAAAATGGGTTGATAGATGAGTTAGATAAATTTTTATTAAATAGATTATTAATGGATTGAATTTTTTAATATATTTTTAGTGAATTATTAATTTAATTTTTCATCCAATTAAATTAATGTTTTATTTAATATCATTTGTGCTTCACAGTTCACACCTATATGCATCTATCATCGCTAAGGAAAAGGGGAATAGGAACATATGAAAGGCCAAAGTCTAAGGTTTCAAAGTCACGTTCAAAAGCAAACTCATGAAATTCTCTCAGAAAATACGCTTGATTTTCTTAGGGACTGAATTACAATTTAATTTTCAGTAGTTTCATCACTCAAATTTCCGTAAACCAACCATAGCCTTTCATTTAGTAAAATATTATATTTACGATTGTTTGTTAATTTCTATGCAAAAATGCGTCCTTGTACACCTTAAGTGCCACCATTAGTTCTATTACAGAAGTGCTAAACATATTGGTACAAATTCCAAATCAGTGTCTCTCTTTAAACTTGATCTTGCATGTTGGTAACAGTTATCCAAGCATGCCACAAGCTGTTTACAATTTTACTTATTTTCATTCGGCTGCAAGCTCTATCTTTATACCCTTAATTGTGACAAGTCCTTTCCCATATTTTGGAACCAATGTCACCACAATACTATCATCATTTTCAGCTTCCAAGTCTTCCAACAAATCAGTTAATCCCAATCTCAAACAAGTTTTAATCTTCTTGTTCTTGTGCACATGTGAATGAGGCAAACTCACATAGCTTCCTGCAAACTCCGCATTGCTAGGTCCTATAACTTTGTCATCTTCATCATTGATAAATACATCAAACTTCACAGCTTTATTCCTATCAAACTCAATCCCATCAATAACTAACACCTCCTCCTCCTCTTCCTTCTCCTCCTTGCTCCTCATAAGCTTTGGCCTTTTCACAATTGTACTCACTTTTGAATCCAATGTCAAAGGGAACTTAACACTCCTTGGTGTAGTCTCAGCAGCATGTGCTACACCAATGCCAAAATGTTGAGCCAATGCAAGCTTTTTAGCTTTAGACTTTCTGGGCTTTGGCTTAGTCTTAAGCCATGGAATTTCGATATCTTGGTAAACATACCCCAGTTTTGTTGTGTCAAGGGAATCTTTGACTTTCACACGCACAAGATTCTTATTCTCATCATAGAATAGAAAGCCAGATTCTAACCAATCAGGGTCAGTGAAATCCCTTCTTTTTCCACCTGGTACTTTTGTTTTCCATATGCTCCACATCCTATCCACATTGGAGTGATGAGAATAGAAAACTGGGTCTCTTGCAGCTGAATAGAAGATGCCCATGTTCTCACGATTCGATTGTCTCTTATCACCAGTCCAATCGTGGACAGGACCATGTGGAACATTCTCTAAAGACCCAGCACCAGGCTCAGAATCATCTCCAGCACGATAAGGGCTTCCAAGGAAGAGCCTTGGTAGTTTCCCATTAGAGACAACTTGCCTGTACATTATACTGAGGTTGGAGTTGATTTGGTCCTTCACATTTCCACTTGCATCGGGATCATCATCATCTTTTCTATTATAGTCTAGGTCTACAAAAGTAGGAGGTTGATGACCCACATGCCTAAGAGGGTCATAAAGAGGTGAATTTTTCTGTGTGTAAATGGAAGGAATCGTCATGCCTGGTGGATTATCCCAGTTCCAAAATTGAATAGCAAAGCTTGGATCACCAATCAAGGACCCCAAGATTCTCTCATAAAAATAAAGGTACCAACGGTGGTAAGGGAAAAAGAGCCAACAATTGTGCACTTGGATTTCAAGGTCAGGGTAGTTAACTTGGTGATAGGCACCATCACAATAAGCACAATGAATATTAGCTTGTTGGGTGAAACTGCGAGGGTCATTGGGTGGAAGGGCTTTCATGCGCTTAATGGCTTCCTTATATTTGGTTAGGTACTCATCATTGACCAAATGAGCAGCTGGTCTAACTCTAAGAGGTGTGGTAAGAGTAGGGAACTCAAAATCTATTGGTTTTGAAGATGGTAATGGTGGGCAACAATTGGTGGCTTTTACATCTTTTGGTAAGTCTGGTGGGCCACAAGTGATTAGGTCAGGAGGGGAAATGGGAGCAGCTATGGCTAAAGGGCTATTGTTGCTAAGAGCAGTGGCACCATAAAGTCCTCCAAGGCCAACGAGAACATCCCTCCTATATCCTACAATATTGTGGGATGGTTTCTCTTTATTGAAGTTTGGTGTAAAGTTGTTTTGGTTACTATTGCATGACACTTTGGAAACGTGATGACGTTTTGGTTTGCTATGTTTGGTAGATTGGCATGGTTTTGGAAACAGTGGGAATAGGGAACAAGAGCAGCATATAGAAATGGGAAGGGGTGCAGAGAAGTTATTGGTGAGGGATAAACAGGATAGAGGTGACGTAGAAGCCATGAAAATTATTTGGCTGATCTATGTTCTCGTGGCTGATCATATATATTGATGAATCTACATTATTGCCCTTCTATTTTTTTTTAAAAATGCCATTTTTATATATTATTAATTTATAAGGAGAATGAGATAAATAAAAAGTTAGTTAAATTAAAATAATTATAATAATTGATAATAAAAAGAATTTAAGATTTTAGTTTTATTTTTTGAAAAACTAACATTGATAGTAGCATTTAATTAGTACCGTTAATGTGGTTTGCACTCTTATAATCTCTGCGCGGTTGTCTAGTAATGATTCCATCTTTAGAAATAGAGATTTAGTGCAAACATAACCTTAGGCATGGCTAGAATTATAATTAGAAGGTGGAATTGTTCCAATGCTAGAATAAATAATTTTCATTTTTCTTCCTATGAATGGATGCAAAAACCTATTATATGTATTTAATCTTTGTGATTGATTTCTCTTACTAGGACTATATCTTTGTACACTAGTTAAAGTAAGTCTGCTACTCCCTTTTAATATTATCTTGTTGCTAGATAAAAATAAATATTTATTATATTTATGTCCATAAAATATTCAATTTATGATAATTATAAATAAAAGTTGTTTGTGAAAAAGTATAATCATCAAAATAGTAATAAAATAGATTTTTAAATTAAATTCTCATAATATTGTTCCATAAAGATTATTTTTAATTATAAAAAATATTAAGATTTAATTATTTGAATCTAAATAATGTGTGATAAAGTAAAATAACAGTATAAAAGAATTAAACAAAAAAAATAATTAAAAGATTAAGAAAACAACATAACTTCTAACAAGAAAATTATTTGAGATAAACTTATGATTTTTAATTTTATCTTTATACATCTTTATATTTACTTTTAGTTTAATTTCAATCTCAATTTTTTTATAATCGTCAACTTCTTATACTTAAACTATTAACACTAAGTGGTCATACAATACTAATATTCTTATTTATAAACTATTACTCACAATGATCATGTGAGGTAAAAAGAAAGAGAAAGCATAAAGAGCTTATGACTTTTTTAATTTAATAACAATTAAAAAAGAAAAATTAAGATTGGTCTACTTAATTCTTTATCTTATTTTACTCTATAAATTTATTAATTGTATGTAGTATAGTCGCTTGCAATGCAATCAATTATGATATATTAAGAGTAATCAATTCTTAATGTATAAATATAAACTCATTAAGATAAAAATCAATAAAAAAAATTGTAATTATTATTAAACATAAAAAACATATAAATAGTACAAAAGATCTATTATAATCCTAATTATAGATTTAACTACTCACACTGAAATAAACAAATAAAGCAATTGTAAGAAATTCATAGTCATTCAACACAAACTAAAGGAATCTCAAATGAAAATAAATGAGAAGAATTATTATCCTCCAGACATTATCAATGATCCTCACTATCAAATAGTTCTCAAAGTTATTATGATTTGATCTTCTAAAGATAGATTTTATTTCCAATAAATCTGTAATAATTAATATAAAATTATTATTAAAAAAAAGTCAAACATATAAAAATAAATTATAAAAAATACCTCAAAATATAAATTTAAGTTCATTAATTTATAAAAATATCATTAAAATTTAGTAAATTATTTGTTTTTACATATCATGAATTATAAGAACATTTTTTAACCTACCTATTTTGACAGTAGGTTTATTTTTGTCATTATATATATATATATATATATATATATATATATATATAAATTCTGATCCTTATTGACATTTTTTTTATCGTTGTTTTTTTTATATATAGCATTTTTTTATTTTAATCCTAGTATTTTAAATTTTTTATAGAAAATCTAAAATAAATAAAAATATGTTATATATTGTGATAAGAAAATACAGTATACATAGTAAATCAAATTAAAAAAAAAAAACTATAGAAATAACAATGTTAAAGAGACTCTTTTAAAAATATTTTTAAAAGTTTAATTATATATTTTTATAATAACCAAATCAAAAGTATAAACTTTATATAAGATCAAAATGATATTGAATACTGTGCTATCACGGGCACGAACGGTACAATTGATTAGTTTAGGATTCACAACTAGTTTTTGACTCTTGACAAACAGATCAGACGAAATTGCCACAAAATATATAAAAAATATATAAAGTAAAATTGATTGATACAATATTAAGTAATTTACCATCACTTAAATATGCTGTCACGAATCCAATTTCTAGCTCTATGCGAATGGAAAATATTTTGTTGGGATAGATCATACTAATTTTGGTAATCTCTTTGCCTCGGAAGCAATTATAAAATTTAATAAACTTGATTAAAGAAGCAACGGTACAATTAGGCTTATATTTTTTTTATACGTATATAAATACATAGTTTGTGTATTTCTACGAGTACGTCCGTACGGGAGTAACATCTTAATTTGAAAGGTCTCAGTGGACAGTGGTCCCTTCAGATATGGATTTTTCTTATTGTAATGTCGTTGGCATGCATGTGAATGAAGAATCTAAGCTTTCAAAAAATAACAAAACGTTTAAAATGCAATCCAATGAATATCGTCCTCAATGTCATTTTCAAATTTGCTCATTCATAGATTGCATGAATCTGTCCCAGTTTGATGGTTTTTTTTTTTTTTCCCTTTTATTCGAGTGGACAAGTGTGATAATAATGAGGTTATTTGGACAGGATTTTATTTTTGTTTTCTTAGGTCAATTGCCTAATAAAATTTATTTTCTTTTGAAAAAAATTATTTTAAAGATATATAAAAATAATTTATTTTATACATTTTACAAAAATTAGAAAGTATTATTGCTTAGTAAGGATTATTAAAAATAATTTTTTATTTCAGTGGATAATCATAATTTTTATTTTTTCAGCTATTTAAAACATCTCAAAAAAGCTAAAATAAAATTATTTTCACCTTCAATTTTTTTTTCATAATCTTAACCAAACAACTAAGTGTGTTTGGAGGGAATTATTTTGACTGATCATTTAAATTTATACACAATCACAAGACTATAAGTTAAACTAAAACTACTTTTGCTAGATTGATCTACATATTCAGTAGTTAAAAAATAGAGTAATATGTGAGTATCGGGTTAACATCAACTTACAATAAACAAAGATATAAAAAATTTAATAATTAATAATTTTAAAAACAAGTCTTTAATTCTTATAATTGAGTAAAAAATATTAATATATATTTCTTATAGAAATAATTATAGGTAATATTTTAAAAATTTTGATTTTTCAAGTTTCTGCTCGGTTGAGTTACCGATTTAATTCAGTTCGTTGTGACTCATTGAACAGGCCTACGTGTAGTTCATACTAATGGATAAATATTTTATCTAATAGATGTAGTCACAGTTCTACTCACACTTTGTTTGAATTAAGGGAAAGGAAGGAGTGAAGAAAACACAGGAAAGATGAGAAATGTTGTATGTTTGTTGAATGAAGGGGAAAGGGAGAGAAGACGACTGTCCGGGCCGGGTTTTTTCCTTTATTTAATTAATTTCAGTTTTAAAAGTAACATTTATATAATATAAAATTTCAAAAAAATATTTTATTAGGAAAATATAATAATAATGAAAAACTTATTTTTTATATTAAATTTATTCTTTTTTTATTGTTTTTCATACAAAAATTAATTTTTTTTTTCATTCTTTTTTTTTATTCATGCATATAAAAAAATAAAGGAAAAAAATAATAATATTCATTGATCCATACAACACTAATTGTAGTGGCTCAAATGTCAAAATTAGTTAAAATTACTCAATTTCCATTATGAAATAAAAAATGAGATTAAAAAAACACTTGAAATGATATCAGAGAATCTCATTGCTATTATTCAAAAAATCAAACTCATGTTTGAATTGAAAATTGAAATTCTGATGCAAGTTCTTCCCTTCATCAAAGATTTAAAATATATTTGATTCCTGTTTTGAAAACAGTTTTCTGTTTTTAAAAATAAATTTAATTTAAAAACAGAAAAATGTTTTCAAAACAGGAATCAAACATACCTTTAATCTTTTCGAACACTCTAACTCACTAGACTTGAGAAACAGAGTACGAACCCTTTCTGACAGGGACCAGCTTCTACAAAAGAACTTAGAAACCTATGAATCAAGTGCAAAATACACGATGGGCAAAAGGTTGAACTTCCTCAATAAAATTACTAGCAATCACAAATACTTTGGGAAAAATCTTATTCCTACTTTCCTAATTTTCCTCTCATCCGAGGATTATAAAATATAACAAATTTGAGCACATCAGTACGTTTCGATGGCATAATTTAGGAATCAGTAAACTTTCCTCCCTTCTTGTTTTTCTTTCTTCCTTTGACTTGTTTCTCTAAACTTCTAAGCCTTTGACTAATAACAGAAGACGAAGATATCTTTTTATCTGAATGTCTTGATGGTTCCTCTGGTATTTTGCTTGGCCCATTTTTCACTGATGTGGCTTGTTTTAGTGCTGGAAATATGGAAAAGGGTGATTGAGGAGGACTAGTGGATGGTGCAGCAGCAGTTATTTCAGGAACCCCCAAAGTTTTCTTAACACCAGGAACTTTAAGCACTGTAAAATTAGAAATAAGAGAGAATATACGGATCAGAAAAAAAAAAATTATATATATATATATATATATAATAACAGTTCACTTATGTTTTGTACCAAACAGTTGAGAGTGGAAACAAAGATCCTTTTAATGCATAAATAATTTGAAACTCAGGACATACACGAAACAGAGCTTCACTTGAATCTTATAGACCCCAGAAATAAATGATTTCCGTAGTTAAGAAAATTATTGTCCTCTATTTTTTTGAGTAAACCATTTAACCCTCTAACGATATAAGTGGCATCATTTCGTTCTCTCAGAAAAGGTAATATCAAATGTCTGAGCCATAGAAAGTGACATCAATTGGGTCCTCCGAACAAAATGACCTCAATTTAGCCCACCAATTTGATAATCCGAACATAAGGACAATTTGTAGGACCAAAATCATGCTCTTAGCATCTTAGGAACACTAAAACAGTGGTTCAGTCCTCTTTTAATATAATTTTAGTCGCCTAATTCAAGTCCCACCAACAACATCAACAGAATTTGTCCTGCATTATACATTCTAACCACCTGATTGCAGGCACGGATCCTATAGTGGAATCAATGCCCCAACCAGCATGCATTTCATGAAAATCAAGTTTCTGACTACTGAAGCAGTGAAAATTGGTAAAGACAAAGTAATATTGCAAATGAAAAATGTCAAGGGCCTTACCGAGTCCGTACACAAGTGAAAACAAATTTGATGTAACCCAGTAACAGAATATAGCCTGCACAAGTATAAATGAACACAAAATCAAACTATAAAGAACAACAAATGAATGTTAATGTTTTGTATAGAAAAAATAAAACTATAAATCAAGTTTCATAATTATTAAGGAATACTTTTTTAAATAGAAAGAAATAGAGCATTTTCTGAGTTTCCTTGTTGGAATAGAATGTTATTGTTTTGAGTCAAGTCAATAGAGAATATTATTCAGGTTTCCTAAAATATTTCAAAGTTCAAACATTAAAGTACAACATTAAATTTTCTGATTAATTTAGGGGTGACCACATGTTGGGTTGGTTCAGATTCTACAAGAAAAATTACCGTAACTGATCTAAGCAATAAGGGTTGGGTTGGGCTTTTCCATTTTTTTAGTTTGTGCCGAAACCAAACCAAACCAGCCCAACCAAGAATGACGGCGGTGGGGGCAAGGCAAAACTGATCTTTTTCACCTCTGAACATTGGGCATAGACAAGGGACGACTTAAAGCTGTTTTGTCAATTTCAAGTAAAAATATTACGTTAAGAACTATTAATCATTTATATGATATAATTCAAGCTATTTTTCATTATCTCTGAATCAATTCAACACAATTTACTATTCAAGATTCAAAATTAGCTCGATGATTCATAATTTGAAATACAATTTGATAACCTTGGTCAAAACTAGTACGTAAGTGAAAGCATGCTTGTATTAGGTGACCTAAGATGACTAGAGTTTATTTTAGGGGGAAAATGGGGAGCAGTAAAGGATCTGAGTTACACAGGCATTGTCATAAGGCTTAAAGGAGTTTGGAAAGTAAGGGAAGGATTTGACAACAAGGGGGAAGTATACAGGCCTCTCGAACACTGAGACTACCCTTGGTTCTTTCCCCTGCTCTTGAAATTCTCTTCAGCTTTATTGACAGAGCCTATATCAGGTCAGCAGAGGTAAACACATACTTTATTTTCAGCTGTTTTACATCCTTGAGAAAAGTTTCCATATTTGGAGATAAGCAAAGAATTAGGAAAGAAGTGAATAAAGGGAATTGATGGGGAGAGAACCAAGACTCTCAAACCCGGGGACTATCCTAATATTTTCTTTTCTGCTCTTTTGAATTTTCTTCAGCTTCATTTAGGCCCTGTTTGGAAGTTTGGAGGAAGAGGGAAGAGAATAGTTTGAGGGGTAAGGGAGGAGAAGGAGAAGAGAGGGAAGGTTAACAGAAAACCCTTCAATTCAGAGGAACTTAAATACATGAGTTTATTTGAGTTTTGAATGATTTATAAAACCTTTCCTCATATTTGAAAACTAAAAACTCCGGAACAGTGGTTATTAACTTACTATTAAATAAACCTTCCCTTCCCCCCTCTTAAAATTAACTTCCAAACAAAACCTTAAAGATCCCGCTGAATTCTGATATTACCTTGGTATCCGGTCAGAAGAGGTGAATACATGCATTAATTTCAGCTGTTTTACATCACCAATCTAGTTTCAAATATATTACAAAATGCATATGATGCATGCTATCTAAATCCAAAGCAAATTTCGATATTCAAAATTTTTTAAGATATTAAAGAGTAATGATTATGTGCCTTTAGGAAACTTCCTATTTTGGATTTCATGTTAAACTTACAAAGTTACTAGTAAATAAGCAACCTGTAAAGAATGCAACCAACTATACTGAAACTTCTCACCGAACTATTGTTTCTTTGTAAGTTCATTAATAAATTATTTCATAATGCAGAAACAGGTGGAAGCAAAGGGAAGTTGTTCCTTTCCCAAAATCCTAATCTAGCAAAGTTTACCTTAGGGAATCCCATTGTGAAAGGAACTGTGAGAACAGCAAGACCCCTAGAGATATTTTTCATGGTGCCAGCCGCAGGATTTCCTTCCATCCCTTCTTGCATGTTACACTGAGTAGCAATATGAATCAATTAATCTAAATTGGAATCAAAATGAGACAGATAACACCAATCTTGCCAGCTCAATTCTAAAATGCTTTCATTTCTTATGAAGTGGCCGGTTTTATGGTGCACACAGGATAAAATTCAAAACAGAAATGTAAAACCAAACAATCATTCAGTTAAGAATTCAGGTCAATCTAGAAAGATATTTGAAAAGTTGAAAGAAAAGTTTCTGAAAAGAAAATGCTCACTTCTACTGTTATTAAGAATGACAATGCAGCCAAGACTGGAAAAATGTACAAGGCATCTGGTGTTGTGAGATCAGTAAACCATGAAGCTCCACCGTGCTTGAATGATGGCACTTTTTCAGCCATGTTTGTTACCTATCTTTAAACACAAAAATGAGAATGGATAGAAACAATATAAAGGCTCCTCAAACTAACAATTAAGGAAAATATCAAATCAATATTCAGCTTACCGCAAGAAAAAAACTTATAAAAACTGGACCTTGAATAAAGAGTCCTTTCATTGGTGTAAAAGGACTCACACCATATCTGCATTATCAAAACCAAAGGAAGAAAATGACATTTAGTGAAACAAAAGATCCATGAAATTTGATTTAATCCTTAAAAAACTGTTTCCTGAAAGCCATGGACCAGTTGTTGGAGTTCTTAAATTTTTAATCATAACTACTCTTCTAACACATTCAATGATCACACATCCAAGCAAAATAAATGATTAAATATCTGATAATTTGCATGTCTTCCAATTCAACATTTTCCATTTAATGATTTAATCAGCAAATGAGGTCATAGTAGCCGTCTATATGAGCTAATGCAGAACACAGATTATTTAATGATTTCAGTAATGACCATCAAAATTCAATAGTCACTGCAAAGATTGCTCTACTGATACATTATATCACCATAGTAGTAATTACAGTAGTTTGGGAGGATCAAACATGACTATTAGCAGCTATAAAATGAAACAGACCAATAAAATAATGTCAAGGATATCCTTCCCAAGCAAACTGGAAAGCCACTTACTCCTTAAATAGCTTCTTCATCTTCTTCTGACCTTCAGCAACAGCAATGGGATCCATAGTCTGAAAATTGGAAATTATTGTGATCAAAGAGAAAGTTGTTTTAATACAACATTTGATAACGTAATGCAATAAAATTGAAAACTTAAACACTTCTCCAACAAATCACAGAACATTTCTCCAACAAATCACAGATGAGGACAGCTCAACGTTCTTAATAAATATACAAGATGTTTAGAATTTATATATACTGCAATGTCAAAAAGCGAAGGCTAAGGAATGCATATCCAGTAACCAAGGTACCTTAACTATAGAAATATAAATAAATGAGCAAAATTTGAATGATAAAGTCATCTCTGTTGATGTTGAACAAAATATATTTTTATAATTTCTAATTTCAACCTACAGAACTCCGGAAACAGAAATCTATGCTAAGAAGATGATTTTATTTAACGCAAACCTTGTTATTATCTAGATAATCCATTATCTATTATAATACATTACTTTTTCAGTATAGTATCACACTCAAAAATACATTGCTAAAAACAATATTATGGTGGTGACAGTGGTGGTGGCAAAGTATGGGAGGTGATAGTGGCAATGATATATTTGGTGGTGATAGGAATGAAAATGATGTAGGTTGCAGCAGTGATAATAGTGGTAACAACAATGATTGCAGTAGTTATGATGAAGAAAGCAGCCACATTTAATGATGTGAATGTGTCATGTTGGCAGTGTTGTTAAATGGCGGCCATGGCGGCGCCATGGTGGAATTCGGTGGCGGTTTTTGACCCCACCATTACAGCGTTGTTTTTGTGGGAAAATTTGAGTTGGGCCATTGATTGGACCTGCTCCAAAAAGATAATCCGTGAGCCCAAACCCTAAGTCACATATTTTCTTCCTTTCTTCATTGCTGTTGTGCCACTGTAGAGCGTAGGTAGGCTATTGTGCTGCTGTGGAGCGGCAGTCCGCCACCTGCTGCTGCTGTGAAGTATTTCTTCGCAGAGGTTAAGCCCTAGCTGTAGTGTCTTGGTGTGGGTGTTGAAGTGTAATAGAGAAAGAGAGCGAAATTCCAATCTTGCCCTTGTTTTATGTATTTTAGGGTTTTTAAAGGGCAAAATAGACTTTCCACTTAAAATTTTTACCTTCTCTTCTCAAGCGGTAAATGTTCTGAAGGCTAAGATATTTAGGGTTCTCCACACTGTTTTTCTTCCTTCTTCTCTAAAGCCAATTTCTCCTTCATCTCCTTCACCATTTTCGTTGGAGAAGACATCCTTTCCGGCTGTTTTCCAGCAACTGAGTGGAAGGCCCTGTTTTCCGACATCCATTTTCTATTTTGTGTCTCTGGGCTCTGCCCCTCTTACTTAGTTTTTTTCTCTCCTATTTTTTTTTTCAGTTCTGTTTTTCCCTCTCCCACTGTTTTACTCCCATTTTTTTTTGTTTTTCCTTATTATTTTGTTTTCTTGATTCTATTTTTCTGTTTTCACTTCCAAGTTTCCTTCTCCATATTTATTTTAATTCTCTACTTTTCTGTTATAACTTCAGCTTTTTATTCCCTCTTTCTTAGTTTTTTCCTCTCCTATTTTTTTTTCAGTTCTGTTTTTCCCTCTCCCATTCTGTTTTACTCTCCCATTTTTTTCGTTTTTCCTTATTATTTTGTTTTCTTGATTTTATTTTTCTGTTTTCACTTCCAAGTTTCCTTCTCCATATTTATTTTAATTCTCTACTTTCCTGTTATAACTTCAGTTTTTTTCACTATTGTACAACCATTTTATTCTTTTTTTCTCAAAACCTTCTTTTTATATGTAATTAGTTTTCTAGTTTTATATCACATTTTGCAATATATATATATATATATCCGCCATTATTCCGCCATGGCATCCGCCATAATTTTATGGCAGTTTTTTTGTTTTCCGCCGTGACCACCATCCGCCATTGATAACATTGCATGTTGGTGCACAATGTGATAAAGGTGATTGTGATGAATGCAATGGTGGTGGCAGTGGTGTTAGAGATGGTCATGGGCTTGACAATCTTGGCTAAGACAGTGATAGTGGCAGTGGCAGTGGTAGCATAAATAGGGCTGTATGGGCTGTCATGGTGGTGCTGGTGGAGTGCAATGGTGATAAGAGTATCAAATTTAGGTAGGGGATGGATGTAAGGTGTGCACATCAGGTACACAGTGTATCTTCTTAGTTCTATGCTAATAATTGGGAAGGTTTTTTGTTTGGTTGATTTTTAATTTCATAGAATTTCTTTTAGATTTGGAATTCCAATTCCAAAAGGTATCTCAGATGAAATTTAGAATTTGATAGCTGAATTTCATTTCAAAAATTGATCTTAAGCCCAATTCCAAGTGCCAAACTAGACCATAATATAGCTCAGAAAATTTGGGTTGAGTTTTCATTAGCTTTCTGTATTTCTTGTTGCACTCTTCCATCCTTTCCCTTTCCTTCTCTATACTATTTCCTCTAAATCCTTTTGCATCCGAAGTATTTAGTCTACATGGTGTATGGAGGAAAGCAGATTAGTTAAGTGGAATTGTTTATTTTGATCCCCAAAGATTTTCCCAAGACAGAGATCAAAAGACAGATACAAAACTTGTGAAGTAACTAAAATTTTCAAACTAAAATTTATTTATGTATACAAAACAACAGGACTTGTGAGGCCCCATTAGCTCACATGTATGTCAAATATCAATATATAGCAGCACTATATCAACTATTACCAGTGATTAAACAAAATGACTTGATGATTACCTTCCCTTCCATTTCTTGCTTTATTTCTTCCAAGCGAGGCCTCATTAACTGTCACACAAGAAATAGTAAGCTCAGGAAACAAGTTAGATTAGAATATAGAAGTACATTGTTGATATAACAATGGCAGTGCGCTTGAGGACCTTCATGGAAAATGGAAAATAAAAAGAGGAAACAGAATGGTGAAACAAGAGAATCAACCCTTCAAGCCATGTTTGGTAGATCTTAATCCAAAAAGGGAAAGGGGACTGAGTAAAAAGAGTTCCCTCCATATGTTTAAATTGTGTCCACTCCACTCCAATCAGGACATAAGAAGAAGGAAGAAGCAAAAATCATTGCCATTACTTTATTTTAGCATGAAACAAAGATGAAGATAAAAGCTGCAAAACATACGGTTAGCTTAGAAGTGGCCTTAAGTTGATTTATTAAGAGTGGAAATGTTGCACTTCGAATCAAGAGGGTTGTTATAACTATGGCTGCCCACCTGAAAACAAAGAAACAATAAGATGAACAGTTTTCTTTCAATGTGCCACCATATCTTAATTGAATCATGAATTATGATCAAATATGCTATTGGACAACTGAATCTCAGAATATGAATCATGTACTACAATGCAAGGAGTGTAAGAAAAACCTTGCTAGCATAGTCTCAAAACCCTTAATCCCCACTAAACTTAGAAATGACATAAAATAAGCCAAGATTCCAATTCAAATATTATTAAAGGGAAACCAGTAGTTTCAGTAATAATGTATAGCAAGTGATAATTAAACAACAAACAAACTAAAGGAATTGATAGTACAAATCCAAATGCCTGGTAAAAGCAAAAAAACGACCAATGACAACTTGACATGCATGAATACCAATTCTGAACTATTTGGACTTCCCTCAGAATTCAGGAAGATTGTATTAGTGTTATGTAAAGAGAAGAGGACCGAAGGTAGGTACTCACCAATTTAAGCCAGTGTAAGAATGCACAGCATCTATCACATACTGCAAGGCCTTTACAGGCAAAAAGGAATCAGCAGCGGCAAGTGCAACTTCATCAACAACAGGAGCCTGAGATGCTACAGTCTCCATGGTTGTGTCAGTGAGGACATCAGCTACATCAGTCATTATATCGATCTTATCTGAACCCTGATTCACCGTCGACATATATCTGCAGAAGTTATATCCAGTGCATGGAGAAAGGAATCTATCTTGAGAAGGAGCAAAGAATCCCATTGATCCATTAAGAGAGCTTCCAAAGGACCTTATTTGGGCAAAATTAGTAATGCCTGCTGAAGATGGTTTTTCATCAGGGTGTTCACGTTTCCCTTCATCACTATGAAGAACATAACTGAAAGACGGATAGCACCTCCGATCTACAAGGTTCCCTCTTATCAAGAGGCAACGTCTGTAAGCCATTGATATTCTTTGCCAGTTCTATCAAAGAGCATCAGGTAACCAAATTAGAATGCACACTACCCAGAATTCAGGTCAATGCAAAATTCCAATAGCAGTAAATCTATTAAGTGTCTTTGAAAACTAATTAAAACCGCTTTAAACCATGTTTCAATGTGTAAGTTATAACTTGTAGGATTGAAATGGATCAGCATTTGAGTAAATTTCACGTCAATTAAAACACTAAATAAAGCTTACCAAAACTTTAGCTGATTTCCTATCCTAGGTTAAATCTGCGTACCAACAAATTTTCTAAGCGTAGAATATCAATAGATGTAGGTTACGGTTTTCTTTATTGCAGTGAAAATTAGGTTAAACAATGTGAAGGCATTGAGTAAAATAAACTAAATCTGAATAAAGCAATGTTCTATTGGGTCACATGTGCACTTGTGATATTTGAGGGTTTAGATAAATTGTGTCATCGTTGTTGGGTTGAGAGACCTCGAAAACAAATACCACATCCAACGAGAGATCTTGTGGTAGGAACTGAAAAATGGAACATCGCAGTGGAAAGAAAATTCAGATAAAGTTGCAGGAACTCACCGTGGAAGATGGAGTGTGGATCAGTGAGGGGGTGGCGCAGCCTTCGAGTTGAGTTATAGCCGCGCAGCACGACAATGCTCGAAATGTGGAAGAAGGGATCGTCCCTGCTTTTATTCTATTGCATCAAAACGACGCCGTTGAGCATCTTAATTCGTTTAAAAGAAAATTTAGTTTAGTTATTGTTTTTTAATTAAAATTAAATTCTTTTTTTTTTAAATATTTGTATTTAATGTTGCCGTAAGGTAAAATTTTATCTTTCATTAGAAAATAGCACTGAAATATTTAAAATATTATACCTAATTCTTTTTCCTTACACTTAAACTTTTTTACATGAAGGTAAAATTAAAAAGCTTAATAAAATTATTATTAAAAATAAATATTTAATTCTTTAAATCTGGAGACACTTGATAATCTGTAATTTTAAATAAAAGAAAATATATAAATTTAAGATCCCCGATTATTTTGAAAATTTTAATAAAAATGGGCCTTGCTAATGGCACCGGTTAAAAAATTAAAATTTGAAAAATTTTATCAAAAACTACATTAGACTATATCAAAATTATAATAAAATGTGCATTAATAATATTTTCAAACAAAAACTTTTTACTTTTGATTTCTTAAGACACTACTTAGCATTTATCATTAAGTTTTTACGTTTAAAAATTTTGTAAGTACTTTATAACAGGTACCTAATAAAAAATAATAATTTAAAATTTTATTGAACAATTTAGTTTTTGAATTATTCAAAAATTTTAATTAGATTTATGTACGCAGCTGAACCTAACGAATACATCTAACTAAAATTAATTTAAAAGTTGAAACATCTAATTATAAACTTTTGAAATATAAAAATTTATTTAAAAATCTTTAAATAATTTAGATTTATGTACCTAATTATTTTTAATCTACAAAATTTTTCTTAAAATTTATTTTTTAAATAATTTTTAAAACCAAAAAATAAAAAATAAAAGCATTTTGATTACTATTTTGAAAACAATTTTCTGTTTTAAAAAAAAATTAATATAGAAAATTGTTTTCAAAACAGTAATCAAGCATACTGATGTGCAATCAACCGTTAACAATAACTAATTGATAAAAAATATATTTAAGCTTAGAATTTTAAATATAAAAAAATTATAGATGTGAAATATTGTTACAGTGGACTTACACAAATTCAAGAAATTTAATATAAGATTTTTTGAAAATTGAAACTTAAAAAATTCCTAATCTAACATAGTGTGTGTAAAGCTTTAAAAAAAAAAAAAAAAAAAACAAGACCAAAAGCTTAAAACTATAATGTATCTAGAAAAAATTTCTTAAAATCTTTCTTTAAAGCCTAATCAAAAGGATTAAAAATTGGGAGTAACGAGAGAAATTACATGAGAAAAGTCCTTCATGATGTAAAGATGGTATACACATCAAGTATCATTTTTATATACATCAGATAAGTGCATTGAATCACGATCAAATTTATTCTTAAATTGTGGTTTAACATGTCTCACAGGAGAAGGTGAAGAAAAGAAAGTCAATTCTATCAAATTCAAAGTCATCTTAAAAATTAAGTCACAGCACAAGTTTTTTAATAACCAAGTTAAGAATCTCAAGTTATAACAATATTGGATAAAAATATACATAGTAAAATTATAAATGGTAGAAGATCTTGACCATTAAAATAATAATTTTTTTATTAAACATAATAAATATATAATTAATAGTTAAGATTTTCACTTGGTGTAGTAAAATTTTCATTGCAGCAAATCCAGATCCTAAGAATCCATGATAAAAGTTTCACACTTTCAACAAATAATTTTTCCTTAAAATGTTTCCTTATATGACATTTAATCACTCTTATATGTGTCAATTCTTTTCCTAGTACATGTTGTCTATTTTACTATTTGACACTTGCTAGTGTCATATGTATTTCTACTTTATAAAATATTAGCTACAGTAAATTTATATTATGTTTCTTTTTTTTTTTCTAATGAATTTAAGTGATAATTTATCATTACTTTATCCAATTTGATTGTTTCAAATATCACTGAGATTTGTGGCAAGATTTGAAATAAATATGATGATAAAAATAGATTGAGCATTTAAATTGATTACAATCTCTTGTTTAAAAAAGATATAAAAGATAGCATTTGACAGTGTAAGTGTTTTTTCTTTTCATAATAGGTATTATGTTTTTTTTTAATTACTATTAATTGTTTTTAATGACTAAAGTGGGTCTTCATGTATTCAAAATGGCAAATCACACATTATAACAAATAAAATAAAATAAAATAATAGTATAAAAAAGAAAAGATTTTTTTCCTAAAAATCACTAGTAAGTTATGTACAAGATCTCATTCAACCTATTTGGTTTTGTCTATTAACATTTTCTACATGTTCATAATCGAATACCAAATCATGTTTCATATTTCAAACTATTTTTAGACATAATTTTTAAAATATTAATTTTGCATTATTTAAGTCATATATTTACATCATTTGTAGATTGCAATAAGATATATAATATGAACTACTGAACTCAAATAAAAATAACATTAACTTTTTGGATATGCTCGGTGAGTTTCTCGTAGACAAGACCACATTCTTCAACTAGAATCCAAACACTAAGTTTATTTCTTTGTAATTTATGAATTTTTTTCCTATATTGTTCAAATTTAAAAATAAACAAAAGTAATAAGATACTAAATATTTCTCAATTTAAGTGTCACAGAGGCCATGCTAGTAAAGATTAGTAGCTCAAAGAGCATAGTGTACTTGATCAAGAATTGCATCTCAACTAGTATTTGTACTTTAACTATTGTGGAATAGCAAGGTTGAGAGGTTGTTTCATTTATTCCAGCCGATTGTAGAGAAAATATTCTGGAGATACATTCAAATTAGTAGAAAAGTGCCTAAATTATGGCACTTGGCTTTTTGCGTATGATCTCGTCCTTTTGTTTGTTGAGAACGCGCCTTTGGATGTTGCATATTTTTAAGGAAGTTTTAATATTTATTTATGTTTGAATAACTCAAATTTTAATTCTTAGAATCTATCATTAGCTGTTAGTGGATAAGTTATTTCTTATTTTTCAGCAAAGTTATTAGTAGTAATGGCTTGAATCAAGAGCTATAACCTCTTGGTCAGTTATTTCTAAATGTATTTAAAATAAGTTGCATTATAATAAATATGTTGTGTTTCAATCAATAGTTTTTGTTACTCTCTATTCTTTTATCATGTTAAGCTTTGCTCCTTCACTATTTTTTTAAATACAGTGTTATTGCTTTTACCTCTTAGAACAAACAATTGGTATCAAAGCTCTCTTCTTAAGAAACCTATATGTGTTTTAAGTTACCATGAATTTTTAAATAATTTTTCCAAGCCACTCTCCCAATCTTTGATGGGAAAATAATGACCTCTGGAGAGTAAGAATGAAAATTTACTTAGAAGCATTTAATCTTTGGAAAATTGTGGAAGAGGATTATGATGTCTTTCTATTGTTGAACAATCCCACCGTGACGCAGATCAAGAATCATAAGAAGAAGAAAAAACTCAAAAAATTAAGGCAAAATTATGTCTTTTTACTAGTGTCTCTACAATAATCTTTATTAGGATCATGACTCTTAAATTAGCAAAAAAAATTTGAGATTGTCTAAACGCGAAATATGCTAGAAATGAAAGAATATGGAACATGTATATGCTTAATTTATGAAAAAATTTAAGTTGCAAAAGATGAAAGAGTTTAAGACAATCACAGAATATTTAGACAAACTATTAGGTATTGCCAATAATATAAGGCTGTTGAGCAGTGACTTTGCTAATTCTAAAATTGTTAAAAAAATTTGATAAGGTGCCTAAGAGGTATGAAGCATCCATAACCTTGTTGAAGAACACAAGATCTGTCAAATATCACTTTGGCAAAAATGCTACATGCCTTGCAAGCACAAGAGTAGTGAAGGTTGGTGAGAGAAGATCATTCTGTTAAAGGTGCATTTCTAGTCAAGCATCATAATGTTGGATCTATTAGACAGAAAAATTTTAAGAAGAACCAACCAACAAGCATAAAAAAATCATACAACCAAAATAAAGGAAAGGGTAAAAAGAAAAATCACCCCCTATCAACATTGCAGAAAAATGAGACACCCATCATTTAGATGTTGAAAAAGACCAAACATGAAGTGCAGTAAGTGCAATTAGATTAGACATGAAATTGTAATTTGCAAAGTAAATATTCAACAAGTGCAATTAGGTTAGACATGAAGTTGTAATTTGCAAAGTAAATATTCAGTAAGTTGTAGTTTATGCAAAAAATATATAAAAGAATGAAAATCAACTCTTTATAGTTATTTGTTTCTCAATAGTAGTTTGAGTGAATCTTGGTTAATAAATAGTGACTGCACCAATTACATAACCTATGATAGAAGAATTGTTCAAGCATTGGACAAAACTTAAGTCAAGTGGATCTAAATCAAGAATGGTGAACAAATTTTAGTAAAAAGCAAGGGATCATTGGCTATAACAAGCTACATAGGAACAAAAAAACTTTATAATGTTTTATATACACTTGAAATTAACCAAAACTTGCTTAGTGTTGGACAATTATTTGAAAGTTGTTTTTAAATATAAAAGCTTCATAATTAAAGATCCACTAGGCCTTGAAATGTTCAAGGTCAAAATAAGGAACAAGAGTTTTTCATTTGATTCAATGAAGGAGGAGCAAACTGCATTTTCAGTTATAGCAAAGCTCAATCGATCTTTGGCACAAAATGTTGGATCATTTCCATCATTTGAAAATGAACTACATACTAAAAAATTAACTAGTATGTGGAGTTCCTTCCTTGACAAATAAAACTAGCTAAATATGAAGTTTGTAAATTTGGGAAGCAAACATGAAAACTATTTCCTGAAAATAGTTGAACAAAAAATAAAAAAATGCAACTAGTTCACACTGATGTTACTAGATCACAAAGAACTCCATCACTAAAAGAAAGTCTTTATTATATCATTTTTATTGATGACTTAATGAGAATATATTAAATTTACTTTATTAAATACAAATTAAGTAGTTACAGTCTTTTGGAAATAAAAAGCACATGTTGAAAATCAAAGCAATTGTTATATTCA